ATTTTACTCATTTATTTAAATCTATGGTTTTACAGAACCTAACAGACTAGATAACATTTAACTTAAAACTAATAATAATTTGGTCCCAAGGCCAACTTAAAAGAACAGATTTACTTGAAAGATTCTGAGTATGCAGTTTTGCAGCCCATTGAATTCGGGTAGAATAAAGGACAATCTTCAAATGGCTAAAAATTACCGTTGACTTTTTTGTCCCACACAATTAATTTTTGCATAGAAGAAAACCGTAACATCTTCGACAACAAAATCGAAAAATTCAGCGGCAATTTTTAGCCATTTGAAACTTGTACTTCATTCTACTAGAATTCAGTGGGGTGCAAAACGGCATACTCTGAATTTTTCTAGGAAATTTTTACGAAAGTTTGTAGATTTTTTTTTTTATATTGCATAAAGTTTGAAACTTGGATTTTCACGGGTTTTGTTAAAGAAAAAACTTTAGTTTTATAAAAAAAAATAACCAAAAAAATAAAATGTTTAAACTTGTCAAAATGTGGTGCGGCGATAATTTGTTCGACCGCTTTATAAACATAAANTCTAAATGTATTTATCGACGGATTTTTGAAGGGAAACTTCTTTACCGGCGATAGTGAATTAAAGAATTGTCACGAAAAAATTCAACAAACTCGTAAAAATTTCGAGCTTTTTTATTTATTTAACTCATTTATTTAAATCTACATTTAACTTAAAACTAAATATAATTTTGTCCCAAGGCCAACTTAAAAGAACAGATTAAATTGAAAGATTCTGAGTATGCAGTTTTGCAGCCCATTGAATTCTGGTAGGTAGGTAAAGGACAAGTTTCAAATGGCTAAAAATTACCGTTGATTTTTTTGTCCCACACAATTAATTTTTGCATAGAAGAAAACCTTAACATCTTCGACAACAAAATCGAAAAACTCAGCGCAAAACGGCATACTCAGAATCTTTCTAGGAAATTTTTACGAAAATTTGTTGATTTTTTTTTTTTTTATTGCATAAAGTTTGAAACTTGGATTTTCACGGGTTTTGTTAAAGAAAAAACTTTAGTTTTATGAAAAAAAAAAAAAAATTAAAAACAAAAAATTTGTAAACTTGTCAAAATGTGGTGCGGCGATAATTTGTTCGACCGCTTTATAAACATAAATACATACATATATAATACATGAAACGAACAAAAAATTTGTCGAGTGAAGTTTCATTTTCGTAGTGTAGCCCAGGTGCACTAATTTTTATGATGAATTAAATATTTTGGGTCTGTTATTAATGTTAAAAAATACCAAAATCATTTCTAAATATATTTTTCCATTTATTACTAAATAGCACTTGGATCGTGCGTCNATACATACATATATAATACATGAAACGAACAAAAAATTTGTCGAGTGAAGTTTCATTTTCGTAGTGTAGCCCAGGTGCACTAATTTTTATGATGAATTAAATATTTTAGGTCTGTTATTAATGTTAAAAAATGCCAAAATCATTTCAAAGTATATTTTTCCATTCATTACTTCATAGCACTTGGATCGTGCGTGCCTACTGGAGTAACACCACAATTATCTTCGACGGTTAGTGTTCCAAGCAATTTCCTCAAAAGCTCCATTCAGTACCAGCTGCCCCCCAAATTCGATTGCAATGTATTAGACAACGTTATGTCTTTGGTCCTACATGTCCGCAATGTGCAGCCGGAATCAATTGTAATGCTCAAAAGTATGAAGAGTGCACATCTGCAGTTTTCCTCGATTGGTAGCGGCTATTATCCCACACATTACGCATTTTACTTGCAACTACCCGAGGCCTGCAATGCGCAAATATCCTCTTGCGAAGCTGAGGCTTGGGAAAATAATGTAGTACTGAATCTCAATTTAGCCACCTCCTGTGAGAGTATACAAAACTACTTAGTCGGTATCGATGCCAGTGACCTGAAAGAGTACACCATAAAGGGTAAATTACCAATAGGCTACAAGTCTCGACAATCGCGTAAGAAGTCACCACCAACGCCACCGATATCACTTTCTTCCTCACTGGATATTTCGGTGGAACGTTCGGAATGTGAGCGCTCTGTCGAAATTGAAATAAAGCCAACTAACGAAACTCAGTCCACGTGTACGGCCAACACAACCGAAGACGAGGATGGGCTACCCCATGCAACCGAAGCGGCTCCGAAGAAAATGAGTAAAAAACAAAAGAAGAAAAATAAGAAACGCCGCTCTCTTTCCGAATCTGTGTGCGATGATATTAAAGTGTATCAGAAACAGCAGCAACAACAGCAGGAACAGCAGAAACAATTTCTAAAAGAGGCTTCCAAAACTATAAACGGTGATTCGTCCAACTCGCCGGATGAAAACTCATCACCAGAACGCTCCGACGTGATTGCGCCCGCTTCGCAAACACAGTCGGTGGCTGTACCAAATGGCATGCAACAACGAAAGCAGCGAAGCTATTCGGAGTGCCGTAGTGGCGATAGCGTTGTGAGTAGCGGTGGCTCTACTCTACCTCCCTCTTTTAAGGGCATTTTGAAACGCTACAGCCGCTATGGACCGCGTCCGTCGATTTCGGATAGCTGTTCGTCTATCGACGAATGCTCGTCGTTCTCGTGCTCTGTGGACGGTGGCGTGGGGAGCAGTTTGCGCTTCTCACAATCATTCAGCGACATACCAGAGGAGAATGTCTCCAATGGACTTTCGGAGAGTTGCAAAAAGACTGTTAGATTTAATGAGGTTATCAAGGAGCAAGTGTTTAGGTGAGTTTTTGTTTTGAGTTGAAATAAAAACTTAAAACAAGTAATATTTACTTCAATTTTTGTAGCAAAATATGGACTTTTTTATCGCTAAATTGCTCAATTTATAAATTAATTGAATTCGTTGAGCGGCTAATAAAACAATTGAGCAACGTTTATTCAATATAAATGATCTATTTTTTTGTTTTTTGTTTTGTGTGCTTAAATTACTTTTAAATTTACATTCTGCTTTCATTTTAGGCTAAATTCTAGTATTTTGGGGCAACGAAAGAAGAATCAAAAACGTCGTGATCGCAAACAACGTGCTTTGCAGCGTCGCCTCAGCGAAGGCGATTCCGCTGATTATGAAGACAACAGTAAGGTGAGTGTGTGCTTGGTTATTTTAAATCTAAAGACAAAGCAGTTATGCAAAGGAAATGAATACATAGTACCATAACCGTCTAATTCTAAATTTTTATGGAAACACCCATATGTAAATAGTATGTATGTATATATGTAGGTATTATATAAATATGAACAGCGACTTGCTAAAGGAAAATAAATAAACTAATGATAGCGATGCCCACTTGATGTACCCATTTACAGATGATGAACAACCACCGATATACGTAGTATATATGTATGTATGTATTTACATATGTATGTATATAGTGTACGTTAACAAGGGCCACTTGTCGCCCCGTCTGCGGCTGTATGTCTGGCGCACGCCAATTTAGCCATTCAAGATTTTATTCCTTAAATTATACAAATCTCTTGTGTTAATATGTATGTACCGACATGTTTATGTAAATATGAGACGGTCACTCGTGCATTTTATTCGTAATCACTCGTCGACTGTTTGTTCAGCGCCTTTGTTTATTTCTTAGCTTAATTACTGCACCGATTGTAGCATTTCGCTGCAAAAGTAGGACAATGTTATTTCTGAAATCGTTTGTTTATAGTCTTTTCAGTGCCCAATGTTGTTATTGCATATTTATTCCCCATCATCGATATGCTATTAACATTCGCCGCAGGTGTGAATGTGTGTGTGTAGGCACATACATATACATACATATATAATAGAGTAGAAGGGAGGCATTATAACGACAAACTGCATAATTCGATTTAATAAAGTTCTTTTTTTAGAAATATGTATTTTATTGCTACTTTCTTCTAACAATTCCCCTTTGGTCTCCTTTCAGCCACTGGGTTTTGCTGAGTCTCATGCAACGTACTTCGCATCGAAATCCAGCGGCGGCGATAATGCCGACAACAGTATTCATAAGCCGACACATGCTAGTGGCAAACATGCCAACAAATTCACTGCCAACAAACAGCAACACTTCGCAGCAAAGGGTGGCCACAAATCGGCACGTTCACGTCTGGAGTCTCAGGAATCGTCGGATGCCGATGCACACAAGAACGCTATGATGTTTGAAATGGACATGTAGTTGTCTAGTAAACACAAACACAATCATTATTAAGCAGCGACACACTTATGTAAGTGGTGCGCAATTACAAAAGCAACACAAACAAACCCACCCGTCAACCGTTATCATTGTTTCACACTTCTAACGAGCCTACCTAGTAGCTATATAGCCGTGCAAGGATTCGTTTATGCAGAAATTTGCACCACACACGTTTACAATATATTATTATTTTTTTCAATATTTGTATGTATATTTACAATTGAATTTTGCCTTAAATGTATAACGTCATTAAGTAATTTGTATGCTCAAAATATTTGGAACCGCGCTGCCCATGCATTAGATAGATATATGCACCAACATTTTAAATGTGGATAATTGCATGCAATAGATTTTTGTTATGTTCAGAATTGTTTGCAATTTTTTATTGTAAACAATCATGATTATACACTGATTGAGATATTGTTCGAATTGCTATGAAATTTTTAGCGTTTAAAGAAATTGTAAATTGGCTTTATGGATTATTGGAGCACCTTTCAATCACATTTGCATGAGTGTCATAAAATTATTAAAATTAATTAATAAATGTAAGGGAAAACAAATCAGCGATTACCTTACTTTATTTATTAAACAACAAATCACAAATTATTAATTGTACATCTATTGGCAAAATTTTATTTTGTAATTTGTAAAAAAAAAAAAACAGTAATGTAACAATACTACCATCATCATGGTGTGCATTCGTACATGAGTACATAATTATGTACGTACAAGTTGTGACATTTTTTAATACAATACATGCATGTTCCCTACGCTCTTCACATGGGCTCGATACATTTTGAGCACTAATGTTAATAAAATACTTGGAAATTTTAAACCTGATATTGATTTAATAAAGTGTGAAGAGGTCAACCTGTGACGCGTCCAAACCTGTTGCCTTTTACGCATCCATGTACGACATTCCATATAAAAATTAAAACCTCTCGTCTAAGAGACTGCGCATATGTTCGAGTTGCTGTAGATCTCGCCGCTTCACCTCACTAACAAACAATACTGGGCAGTCGAGGGAACAGCAATTCAACTCTCCTACTCGCCCGCAACATGCTTGACATATCTGCTGCACCAGCTGATAACCCCGTTCAATTTTAGCCATTTTTGCATGCAGCGTAACAAATGTTCGTTGTGGTTGTTGTACGCATACCTCACAGATGCCCTGCTTTGTCTGGCGCCCACAGTCAGTTATACAATTCGTAACTGAGAAATACTGTGAAATTGTGCTTTTCTTCGGCTGATGCGCTGTAGCCACATAATTACCACTATTGAGTTTATTAGCTGCGGATACTGGTGGTGCGAGTAGAAGTTTTCGCGGTAGGCTAGCGAACCTGGGATGGATGGTACAATGCGACAATCAAAAGTTTATTTCAATATAATTCGCCGAATATTTTACCATTCATTCACATCGGCTCCAATGAGAAGGAGGCAGCGATTAAGAGGAGGTATAATAGCCTTGGTAATGTAATAAACAGCGTTGATCTTCAAGCCTTCGTCCTCGAGTACTTCATGCGGACTGCGCACAAGCCGTATCAATGGTACGCCTGGTGGTCCGTTGACAATTACGAATGGAACGCGCTCACCACAACGCGGCACTCGGCGCGGATCACTCTGTACCCATTTTCTACAAACGGAGCAAATCAATTTTCGGCAATAATTATTATCGTTTGTATTTTTACAAACCTCGTCAATTCCAGCGCCGGCACGCATGCGGTCGGCTTGTAACCCTTCAATCCGCGGAACTCCTTCGCAAATATTAAGTCTTGCAAATTGGCACGTCCAGCCAGCAGTTTACTAAATTGGCGGCAAACATATTGTTTGATTTGGCTCACATCCGTCGTTTCGAATAGGATGCGCAATACCTTCTCTAGCATCTTTGCAACAGCCGGACAGCCGTCTCGGCGCACTGTCTCAATGCCCTTAGCCTCGTACACGGGTTCCGTTTGATCTGCTGTTTCGTACATGTAGCCAACATAACGTTTCTTTGTCTGCAGTATACAGGGCTGATACACTTTCTCCAGCTTCAACTTGACCGGCTGCGGGTTGTCTTTGGTGACCGCCTCTGCGATTTCCTCGCCTATTTTGAAAGCCGTCTCCCGGTTTCGTCCAGGCACCTGCACAAACAACGAGTCAGTATCACCGTACACGACCCGCACGCGCCACTTTTCGTTCGACTCGACCATTCGTATGGCGCGTTCTAGCGTCTCGCGGCCTTTTGCAACAACCGAATCACCCACTTCGACAGCCGGCATGCGGCCACTGAAATTAGCCGCCGTATATCCGTAAGTTACATTCGCCATGAGTTTGAGACCCAGCTGACGGGAGTGTAGTACACGCTGTAGCGCAGAGTTCGATCTATCCAACTTCATGGATTGCTTAACCATTTGACGAGTATTCAGGATTTCACTGAGCATGCGCGGCAAAATACCCTCGCGAACAGAGGCTTTAACGAACACCACACCACAGGGCGATATGGAAATGAGGTCATCTTCCACCAAACGGCGCAACAATGCTGGCGAAACGCCCAACTGTGACGCTCCAAATTCGAATGGGGGAGAGCTGCACAAAAGTGGATTTAATTAATTATTTAATTATTTAATAAGAAAAAAATGTATTGTAGGCGCGCAAGGTGAGGTAAAATGAACACTTACTGTCCTAGATGTTCCACACGTCCTAAGCAAGTGGAAAAACAGTAATTATAAGCGATTATCATGCTCGGGTAGAGGCTTTGAAAATCCAATACTATGACTGGATCCGAGTAAAACCGCGACTGCGGTTCTAAAATGAGAGGCAAATATTCAGGGGCTCTCATGTGTGCGCGTTGCTGTACGCTCGGCGACAGTGGTACCAGATTACGAGGCTTTGCTATCCTTCAAATGAAAAATATAAGTTTACTTTTTATTATTTTATTTGTACCGGATGTTCGATTATACGTATTTTTCCAAAACCGGGTTTCAAGTTAGTGTTAAGCAAATTAAAATCAGTGAACAATTCACGTTTGGTCCTATATTAACTTTTTTACATTTTTTCTGACCGCGCCGTCATGGTCGAGTTCTTAGATGTGCCTACTACCACACGGGAGGTCCATGGTTCAATTTCTGGTTCCAGCAACAATTCAAAAAAAAAAAATTTTTTCAAATAGCGAGTGTACTTGTTCAATAAAAAAACATCTTCGGAGGTGGGGTGAAAAGGTAGATCTCTCCATTTGTGTCACAACATCAACGCAGGAGCGCTAAACATTCATTTATTGGAATCAAATTTTATATACTCTTCATCTCCAAATGAGTAGTCCACTTGAAAAAGCCTTGAAAACTTCGAAAAACTC